TAGCAGACTGGTCTCGAAAGCAAGAGTTCCTGGCCAGCCTTCTGGGCCATGTAATTGCACTTACGTACCCGGTGGTGGCAATTAACGGTGGCCCCCCTTGTCAAATTCATACGTGATGCTTGTTTTTTTATGTTTATTCGATCTGTGTTGTTAATATATTTCAAGGTTCCCCTATGTTTGCTGGGAAAAAAAAATTTCCAGCAATTGCTGTATATATTTGCTTGATGTTTGAAGTAGAATGCTATAGTTGTTTTCGTTTCTTTTCTTTTCTTGGTAATTAGTACACTGTTACAGTCTCTTTTCTTTGCTGTAAAGAGAATTGTTTACTTTCTTGATTGAGATCATGTTTAAGTTGATCAATCTCTGCTGCTAGCGATAGCAAAACTTGGTTTTTTTTTCGAACTGAGGAAACTTGGGGTGAGGATGGGAGAGTAAGTGTTTGGGTTTAAATCTAAGAGTTCGATGTCCTAAATACCATCTCGTTTAGGGAATAGTTATTAAGTCAATCAATGATGAGCAAAATCTTGATTATTTGTGTATTTTCACTTTTTTTAAAGTTTTATTTTTATTTTTTAATACAATATATTTTAAGTAAGCTATTTTAAATTAAGATTTGAAGAATAATTTATCTATAAAAAAATAAAAAAATAATAATTTAACTAAGATGAACTTAAATTTATAAAAACAATAATATTGAGATGGTGGGAGTGCTTCATTTCTTCCTTGGTTGCCTTTGGGTTGACAAAATTGAAAGTTCGGAGGGTAGCAATATAAAGAAGAACCGGAGAAATGGTGCCTTCTGACAATCTTAAACAATCAATTGTTTGCAAAAAAGTGGGCCAATCTTGATGGGTGCATAAGATTCTCCCTCAGTCTTTTCTGTAATCATTGACTCGTGAGCATATCTGCATATGCAATGCAATGGGGTCTTGTTTCTGAACTTGACAGTATCTGCACGGAATGTACTGCCATTCACTTCTCGAAGACTACCCCGAGTTACTGATTTGTCTACTCCGTTTCCGTTATTGACTGACAATCTTGTTTCACAAGTTGTTTGTTAATAGGAAAAAGGTATCCGTTTGTCTTTTAACTTTTTGAATTTGAAGGTTTTTACTCTTTATATTACAATATATGAATTTTTGTCCTTTATATTTTCGAGTTTGAGGAAATGAGGCAAAATTTAACGTCAGAGCATCACGTGTAGCACGTGCACCGTTGGCCTCTGTCAAGTATGCACATGTCAGTACCACCTTAGACTTTTTTGACAACTTGGCATGCCAACTTAGTCCTCCATGAGCGGGAAGTCTACCACTACCAATTTTATTTGTGGGCTCCACCGCTAACTAAAGGTTTGAAAAAAAAAAAGATAGATGAGTCCAATGCTTTTACTAAAGAACCCTTACCAAAACAATAAATTAGGGATCTAGGGTTTCAATCTCACAATCTCACCATCGATTGAACTTTCCTTCTATTTTGATTTGCTTCTACTCATTTTAATTCCTTCCTCTGCTCATTTCAATTCCTTCCAGACTTGATTTCTTTCCCTCTATTTTGATTAAAGTTTAAAGTGATTTAGGCCATAGAGATGTATCTTCGTCAGGATCTGCGGTGAGTTTTTTGCCAAACTCAGCACTTTAATTCAATTCAGAAAGAACAAGAAATCAAGTTGGAGGATTTAATATTGGAAGAATTGAGTTTCGGTTATGGTTTTACTAATGATCACCAGCTGTTTGAAGAAATTTCAAAGCAAGAAGTGCGAAATCCCAAGGACATGTTGTCGGAGCTGTCATCTCTGGAGATTCTTAGGAATTATGGAGGGGGGTTGACGAAATTGAAAGTGGATGAATTTGGTGATGGTCCTGGTGGAAAGATTAATAGTGGCGGTGAGAAACTCGCAACGAAGGAAATCATGAGGGTTACTGGAGCAAGGTATGTTCAGTTCTCGGACTGAGGTACAATGATTTCTCCATGTTGATGCACCCTTTTGGACATGCTCTCAGTTGATTGTCTGATGAGGAGACCAAGGATGTGGAACTAGTGCATCTGCTCCTGGCTGCAGCTAAGAAAGTCAGATACTAGCAATTCGAACGTGTGATGAATGGATCGCATTGGAGAGAGCTAATCCGGTGCAGAGAATTGTTTACTACTTTGCAGAAGCTCTTCAAGAGTGAATTGATAAAGAAGCTGGGTGGGTGACAACCAAGGAATCCAAGGCCAGGAGTAGCTGAGTTTCAGCAAGTCATTGATTCATAGGTTTAACTTATGTTAGATTTCAATTTCAACAAAAACCACAGCATTATTGTGCATTCTTTTGATCACTGAGGCGGTATGACTTGGCCAAGGTAATAACTTGTGTGCCTAAAGTTCATTAAGCAGTGTTGATGAACTTGTCAAGTGTAAAGTCCCTTCACTTGCCTTGCTTACTTCTTAAAAAATACTCTCTGAAACGAGCGGTGGCAGCGATCACCCGGAAGCAGCAGCCGGCCGCGATGGACTCCAGATCTGGACCTCCTGCGAGCGCCGCCACAGATCAACCGGAAGAGGGGAAGGCCGCCGGATCTGTACAAACACAACCAAGAAACAGCAAAACAACCAAGCAAACCCACCCAAAAACAAAAAAAGAAACTGAAAAAGCAAAAGCCACCAGAGGGGCCAACAAAACCGACAGGCCTCGAGGGCCATCAGAGCATAGAGCATAGGGGCTCCACCATGCTTGAGCAGTCGGGGGGCCCGACGGCTCAAGCATCAAAACGCGAAAGCCCAAGGGCTTCCAATCAAAACAGAGGGTCGCCAATAAGAGAGGTCAGGAGCAGGGAGAAGAAAGGGAAAAGAAGTAAACGGTATCATTTAAATAGATTTCTTTGCATTCATCTGTCTTTTTTTTTTTTTTTTCAAACCTTTAGTTGGTGATGGGGCCCACAAATAAAATTGATAGCAGGTAGACTTCCCGCTCATGGGGGTCCAAGTTGGTATGCCAAGTTGTCAAAAAAATCTAAGGTGGTGCTGACATGTGCATACTTGACGAAGGCCAATGGTGCACGTACTACACGTGATGTTCTGACGTTAAATTTTGCCTCATTTCCTCAAACTCGAAAATATAAAGGGCAAAAATCCATGTATTGTAATATGGAGGGTAAAAACCCTCAAATTCAAAAAGTTAAGGGGCAAACGGGTCCCTTTTGCCTTCGTTGATATTCCCATTAAATAAAATAATGAAATAAAAGAAAAACAATTTTGGTTACTGGATCTGTCAACAGGCTGTGTTTGTGGCCTAGTTTCCCAAAAAAATTATTCTCGGGAAGTCACACAAATTTAGGATGGGGTTGGCTCAAAAATTTGGGTACAAAAATCAAGAATAAAATACAACAAATTTTTATGTTGCAATTGGTTAT